AAATATCTGGTGGACATTCACCCTTAATACAACCGCGCCGAGACTCCAAAATAAACTTCATAAAGAATTGTTTTCGACTCTCAACAGCTACAGTTGAGTGTGACTCTCTTTGTCTTTGAGCGACCACTCTCGTAAGCGACCATCTCCCTCACCCTTATGACCTTTTGAATTTCCCATTAAAATTGTTTCCCATATAAACTCTGTAAAAAAAACCTCTCTCGTAAGCGACCATATTTTCCTGATCCCGAGGTGGTCGCTTACGAGAGAGTTGACTRTATGTCCAAAAACAGATATGTCCGCACGTGCAGTTTATTTTTAGAATTCGGCTAAAAATAAAGCCAGCTACCAAATTCAAGCATTGAGGACGTGAACTCGCGAGTGCCTATTAAGGTTCCATAATAACTTCTCTTTTAGTGTTATTTATAGCCGCACAATAACTAGCCTTTGCTGGGGGRAAGGAAGAATAAGGATAGCACTAGCTTAGTAATAATCCATTCTTGAAAAAAGAAAAAGAATATGTACAAATGTACTATTTTAGTACAAAAATTTAATGAATATGCACTGCTGATATATATTCTGTTGTATGCAGTAGTATTAAAGTGCACATGACACCTTTTAGAAAAACACTTTTATCCGAAAGTTTACACGCTGCCAACTACTTCTGCGAAAAAAGAAATGGATTTTGAATTGTATTTTCTGAGTTATAGACATTTGAAAATTGAAAATGCAAATGAAGTGACGTCAACTAAGGAATTGATCCAGTCTTTTTACATTGTTTGCGCTATGCTGTTCTTGGTTGAAGAGCACAAATCATCAATCATAGTAATAATTGAGAGCTGAAAATGCTTTTTCCAATGTAACAAAAAGAATAACGTTCTCTTTCATGATTTTGTATATTAAATCATTCCTTAGTAGACGTCACTTCATTTGCATTTTCTAAGTTTTAATCGCTCATAACTTACAAAATACAATTTGAAATCAATTTCTTTCTTCACAGATGAACTTAGCAGTATTTTCTCTTTTGGATGAGAATGAATTTCTAATGGTGTCATGTGCACTTTAAGGATTTCATAAAGCTGGCCCTCAAACTGAATATTGGTGTTAGGGGCATCCTATATTAACCAATTAAATAACAGAGATCAATGTGTTGGGCAGTATTATCTGAAAGCCCTAAGGATAGGGGCAAAATATTGGGCAAAGGGCTACCGAAGGTCAACAAGAGCACATGGATCGATTACTAAAGACATAAATAGAAAAAAATAAAATTAAAAACAGTATCATATAATGATTAAATTCTTCTATTCAATGTACTTTTTTGATATGTGAATACAGAGATCTTGTGGGAATACAGACAAATTTCTAGAGCTAATGTAATGTTGATTTTTTTTTTTTTTTTTTCGAGCTTTCTTTTGTTTTGGTAAGGTCTTTGCGCAAGTGAGTCTGTTGTCTACTAAAACAGCGGTCGCTCGCATTGAACGGGAAAAGGGCTTATCCTGGAGCCGCTGTACTAGTATTTTGGTCCATTCAATGGCGGCGCCACTTTGCCGACAGACTCTGAAAGCCGAGATGTTCTCAATGCGTTCTCTTCAAACGAATTTTTTGCAAGCTTAAATAAAATAAAACATTATAAGACAAATTAATGTATGTACAGTAGAAATTAAGGATTAGGAAGAACTATTTTAGAAACCATCAAACAGACTCCTGCTATCTTTWAGGACACTTTTTAAATTCATTTTAAGCTCATGATAGAAGGATTAAGGGAAGCATTAGCGCTATCTTTTTGGATCAGTAATATGCTGGATTACAAAGGAACATTTTTAGCATTTTTTGAGATTTTCAAATTGATAATATTCAAGTTCAATTAATATTGCTGCAGTCTATTTCGCCTTCTGATGTGTTATTATGAAGTTTTTAAGCGTTTTGAATTCTGCAGCGTATTTGATGCGTTTCCGTAGGATTTTACGTGGCGTCTTTTTGTGGCGTACGTTTTCGTATCTCTTTTGAATACTGCTCCCTTTTGGAAACTTCCACGTTATTGTGCTTTCTTAGCGCATTTTCAAACCCATCTGTAACGTTTTTTGACGCTCCCATAGGATTTTGCGTGCGTCTTTGCGTAGCGTTTATTAATGCGTTTTTGCATGTAATTTTGCGTCTGGACACGACAGTACATTTCGACGCATGTGTAATGCATCTCGTCAAGGTTTTTCTATGACCATTCAAATCGTTGAGCTTCCGTATCACTTAACATACTGCTTCCTCTTTCATTTTCGTATTGCGTATTTGCAGTTTTTCTGGGAAATCATATTTTATTCATAAGTGAACCAAATTTCGACGATTTGAAAAGAATCCAGACTAGTAAATCAGCTCATCGGCGTTTCTTCYTGAACATTAACTCACAGCCAACTAAACCGACCCAGAAAACAAATTGAAAACATGCAGCGACGGGTGCGTAAGGTGCAGGGCGCCGCACAAGCTCAACCTACGTTTGACCGTAGAGCTGTAGATGTTTGTGCCTCTAAGCCCGATGTTCCTAAATTCCAGGTTGCAACAATCCATATCTCTTGCCAATCTGATCATTACCAAGGAACAGATCACTCATACGGTGGCTTCATTGTCTATGGTTACGAGGGGAAATCAGACTGGTACACTGTGAACGGCGTACACTGCAAAAGTGGCTACCTTGTTATAAAAGATACAGACTGCCATCCGAGGCCGCAAGACGAATTTCCTAGCGAGCCTGGCGTCATACATGGAGCAATTTACAGGAAAGTGTTTGGGGAACCGTACAAGAAAGATAAGGTTATTGGAGAAGGATTTTCTGTAATGAATGGCGAGTTCAAGACAGTGTCTAGCTCGTTCAACATCGGTGAGCTGTATCACGACAACAGACGCATYATGAATGAAACGATGGAASRATGTGTGAAGAAAGTTGTGGATTCCTGGAAGGCATCAGGTCGCTCGTTTACTGCACACCGAAACTACGAAGTGCAAGCCCTTCTGAATGACTGATATTGAGATTGGAGATTCTATTCTAGTTTGAAGCATTGTTAGAAGCAAAGTACTTTCACTTTCAATTCCGTTTGTTTCTTATAATTCTTTCTTACCTTATATGCCTTGAAAAGAGCTAACATTGAATGTTTGAAACCTTTCAATTAATGATTTTCTGATATCAAATAAGTCAAATCAAGTCTAAGATCCAGTAAAAATCCAAAATCTAAGTGTAAGCCATCTGGAACAATCAGAAACTATAGTAAGCAATTAGAGACTTTTTCCGCCATGAATATTAAACGAATGCGAAACATTTGAGAACTAGCATTTTTTTGTTTCGTTTTTATTTTATCTTGTTTTCTTAGTATTATTAATATTTTTATTTTCATCAATTCGTATAGTATGCACTTGTATATCCTTTAAATACAGCTGTTTGCAATAATTCTGACCCCCTCTGCCATATTTCATATATATCAAACTGACCTTTAATATTATGGGATATCATGACTGATATATTTTTTGAGTTGTCCAGAATGAGTACTTTCTAAAAAAAAATATCAGCATTGGTATCCCATAATTTCTAAGGCTACTTTGATATATATGAATATTAGTGTAGGGGGGTCAGAATTATTGCAAACAGCTGTATTAGTAATTATTAATATAAATTAATATATAAATTAATTATTTGTAAATATTTATGACTGAGTGCTTAGAATATTATATATCTACACCTTGGTCAGTCATCTCTTATCTAGACCGCTCGCTTAGTTACTAAAGATCAAAATATTATATATTTTTCATTCAAAGCATTGTGAGCCTGCGTACATCTGGTTTATTAAACGCTGGATGAAACTCAGGCTAAGAATTGACAGACAGGTGTCATTTTAAGTCTTGAAAATCCACTTAAAAGCGATAATTCGTTGTTAATATTTTCAGAAACAAGTAGCTAAAAGCATCGTTATTAAGCTGTCTGCCATTAAGGGGAGTGTATTCTTTTCCGATTGCGTCAATCACGCGCGTGGGTGTCACACACGAAGAGGGTCAAGCGTCAGCGTCACGTGCGTACATTGGACCGGAAGCAGTCAAGTATCTTGCGAAACGGAAATGAGGTCATCGGTGAATTTTGAATTCAGCCTGTTCAGTTGTGAAACCKGAAACTGGATTGTTTTCAGCATCTCGAGAGCGGTACATTTTTCTTGGTCCAGCAGTCCAGTCCAGGATTTTCCATCTCAGGTTTTCTCAGTTCGGATTTCCTCTGTCCAGAAGTCCAGCCCAGGGTATTCCACCCCTGACTTTCAATTGTCAGTTCAGATTTCCTCTGCTAAGAGTTGAGTCTAGGATTTTCAAGCCCAGATTCTTAAAATTAAAAAATGTTTTCGAAGACCAGGTTTTCCTGCCATCAAGATTTTTTCTCTCCATTTTAATTTTGTGACGAAAGGCCTTATGTGGACTCTCGTCACTATGCCATCGTGTTGAGTAACCCGGCATCCACTTGTAGCAGGCGTTCCTTGCAATTTCTTGATATGTTGAGTTGAAAAGAGAAAATCTATAGACTGAGGGAAAAAAAACAACAGCAAAAAAAGAAGAAAAGAAAAAGAAAGAAAGAAAGAAAGAAGAAAAGAAAACAGGAAACAAAAGAAAAAGAAACGATAAACAAGCAAAAAAGAGAAATTCCAGCAGCAGGATTCGAACTCAGGACTTTCAATTCAGGAAAAGACATACCCCCCCGGAATACATAAGAAATAATGAAAATAAAAGAACTAAAAATATGGGACGATTCCCCCGAGACATTCTATGAAGCTGAGGCGGCGAATCGGCTTACGTTACGGTTAGAGATTTCGGCTCTTCCACGCTATCCCGAGTGAACATAAAACTTAGTCTTAACCAAAAGGCCAGGGAGTGAGGGGGTAGCCGCCCACTAGAGCATACCTTTAGCTACCCTCTTAGACCATCGTACTATGAAGACACTTATAGATATCTAATATCTAATTGGGGTAGTCTATTCGGTGAAGTTCTATGCTAATATATGACGTCACCAAATCCTTAGGGAGCAGCGAGCCAATCAGAGCTCAGCTCAGGAATTAGCAAAGATACATGGTTTGAATAATCATTCTTCAATGGATTTATTATTTGATGGGGGGTGGGGATGGGTGCTGAGTGCTTGTTTGCGCCCGATTCCCGATGTACTCGATGTATTGTGGCGGCTTTCACCGAGCTGTTCAATTGTCGTTATTGTTTTCCCAATCCATCACAGGAAAATATGTACAGTTCTCATATCAAGACATTACTAGAGCAGAGTCACTTGAACCATGAAATAGAAACTAAATACTTAGTTACTAATAGGCACTATTTAGACACTATCACTGAACCAGAACAGTACAAAGAGATTACTTGGGTATTGCTTATTGGATCAAATAAACTGTTCTGGTTCAGTGCTAACGACTATTAGGAACTAATAGTCCCTATTAGTTAGTACTTTTTAGTTCTTATTTCATGGTTCATGTGACTCTGCTCTAGTATTCAAGTAAAGAGCACAACAAAAATCTCCTGAAATTCTTAAAGTTAGTGGTTTACAGACCAGGAAGATACTAGCTGACATTGCCAAAGATTTGCCCGGATTCAACGGAACACAATTGAAGACCTCTGAAACGCCAATATTCAACTCGAACGACATTTTCGTTCTTGATGATATAAAAGTTAACAAGTRGATTAATATCGATTATCAAATAATTATTAAATCTAAATGTAGTTAATGTTTATGAAGAGGATGAATGACATTCCGTATAGCAYTGATAAAGAAATGAAGAAAAACTTAGAAATCTTTGGGTTTTATTTCAAAACTATAATCAGGCGAATAAGAGTAATTATAACGTGGATGTAAAAATACAGTTTAAATAATATAAACATTTTATCGAACAAAACGATAATTTGATCATGAGTTAATAAGTCAGAAGATACAGCAAAGCTAAATCAAAGCTCTAAGGACTCCATGTCGTGGATAACAATTCTCTTTCCGAATCTTTCAGACGGTATGTTTACCTTTTATAGGCAGGCAAACAGGGCGCCCCGTGTCAGGCCCCCACGGTAGGAATCATCAACCATAACAATAGGTTCCAAGGGTCCTGGGCCGCTGGGGATCGGTGTGTATTTATAGACAACGTAATGCTTGATCACAACTTGATGCTTTTATAAAGGAGTATATGAGAAGTATTTTCATCATCTTCAATCTTTAAATATTTCGGCTACTAGCTGATGCTTTTTAGTTCTTTGCAGTGTAAACAGCTAATTAAAGATAGTGTATTCCAAGAGCGGATTGCATTGTGGGTCTTTCTATCACCGTTCACCATTTAAAATGGTACATTCTCAAAGTTCAATATAGAGGGTCTCAATGGGGTTAACCGTGAGCCGTGAAATGACTGAAAAATTAGCCGTGAGTCGTGAAAATGAGAAGAAAAAATTAGCTGTGAGGCGTGAAAAATCCAAATTTTTAGTCGTAGTGAGTCGTGACGCGGACCACCCATTGAGACCCTCCTATAAAAGTTATAAAAGGTCTTTCCTTACTTAGATACTATTTTGGGGATTTTTCTTGTACATTCTAAAACTCCCGCTCATTTAGTGCATTAAAGACCTTAATTGAGCGGGAGCCGAGCGTCACGCTAAGTGTGACAAGAAAACAAAGGTGCTCGAAATAGAACGTTATAATATGAATCGACCCCTTTTTTGGATTGCTAACTAGACGCCCCTGGGGCGTGAAGTCGGACTAGCTATTTTTGAAAATTGATAGACACGAGTGAAAAGATTATGATGTTATATTCTGTYTAATCATATGATTATATTATGAATGTAAATGAAACTTGAGAAAGACAGCAGGATATTACATAAAAGATAAAAATTAGATTAAAATATATATTTCTTAATTTTTCTCCAAAATAGCCGAACTCACGGTCTAATAAGAGCGTCTAGTTCAAAATATCCAAACTCTCTTGAGACTAAAATAAACTTGACCAAAAAGGTCATGTAATTAATACCAGCAATAAACGTTTTAAAGGAGTCCTTGCTTTCACTGATAAAATCAAACGTTGGTATGTAGATTATGTTGATTATGTGATGCTAAGCTAGTGAACGTTGACCTCTCAGGCCCAAAAGTAAATGATACCATAAAATCATAAACTCGCCTTTTTGTTATTGATAAAAAATGTTTCTTTTTGTTATAATTTGAAATCTTTGCCCACACAGGACTGCCTAAAGCTAGAAAGGCCATTGATTTAGTTTCGTCAGCATACTACTCGAAGCACCAAGCGATCTGCACATGCGCGTACTTATGATTCCTAGACTGATGCATTCCGATGAGATCACAGATACCACATTTGTAAACGAATAGTTTTTTTGTCATATAAAAGCGCAAGTAGCATATAACATTTACTAACGATATTCGTACATCAATACGTTTGAGCTTCCGGTCATGTAATAACACAACCAACCCACTAGTTAATTATTAAATTCTTAACTTCCGGTGGTCCAAACGCGACATGACACACAGATAGATTGGCTAAAAGGTAATTTTAAAGTCGGACCTCGCCTTCGGCTAGTCCGACTAATGAGAGGGTCTCAATGGGGTTAACCGTGAGTCGTGAAACGGCTGAAAAACTAGCCGTGAGTCGTGAAAATGAGAAGAAAATGTAGTCGTGAGGCATATATGAAAAAGCCAAATTTTTAGCCGTGAGTCGTGATGCGTAAAAAATCAAAAACAACAACAACTTTGCGATTCTAAGGAAGCAGAACAGGTAAAATCTTTATTTGATTCCAAAATTGTCCAGGGAAAACGCGGAATTCACAAATATCGACTTCCTGTCGGTGCCCAGTCCTCCAAGATATGAAATCCGAGGTCATAGCTCACAACATCGATCGCTACGGTTGACTGACATTGACCGAAACAACATGGAAGCTTCAGCACCATTAATCGCGGCCTATTGGCCGTATCTTGCCGCCATTGTCCTTGGAATAGTACTAACGGAGGTTTTTAAATCGTTTACAGGMGACAAGAAGCCACTACGCCATAAAACAGACGTGGACCCATTGCAAGATAGCAGCATCGCTAAAGATCCACTCGATGTCGCTAWAGAGGACTCTGAAACACCCCATATACCGTATCCTTACTTTGACGAATTACATACTGAAGARGAGATGAAGAAGAGGGCACGGGAGTTTTATGTGCTCATGAATAAACGCCGGACGGTTAGGAGTATATCTCCAAAGCCAGTTCCTTTGGAGGTCATTGAAGACATAGTTCGCGTGGCAGGTATTATATTTGCATTCGTTACAACTACCTTACAAAACATTTCCATTTACAAGGAATACATTAAATCAGTGGTCTTCTATTGTTGCTGTTGTCTTTTGGTGTGTGTTTTTTCTTTTGGTGTTGCTTTTGTATTACATTATAAATGAYTTTTTACTTAAGTACAAATCAATTATAACAGCACTTATTCAAGTCTGTTGTAAGCGCTGTATCAAAAATAATCCTAATAATTTAAAGAAAGATTAAATCCAGCCTCTGGTAGCCAGGGAAAATGAGTTTTTAGATTAGATAGCAGATAGGTTAGTAAATATTTAGTTAATTCCTGATAAGAGCACAGGTAACCYAGGCTCAATAACTAAGTGCAAAGAATATTGCATAAATGCATATTTGAAATGGCATAAATCCTCTAAAAATCGAAATATTTCAAACCAGGAAGGTARGAGACGTTTTATTTATGTTATGAATATTGTTTAAGAACAAAAAAAATATTGTGCGTATATTTATACGAAATACTTTATAAAAATACTTTATACCTACTTGMTGAGCCTGGGTTAMCTGTGAGAAGAGGTGCATTCAGCAACGAAGGAKCGTAGGCTAGGCTATAGGTTTTCAGGTTGTAGGACTTRGAAGACAGCSACAAATGTTTAGACGAGCGAAGATCACTGCGGGTAGACCGATGAACAGAGATTAATTCTTTAATAGAACTGTGCGATAGACCATAGTGCCTTGAATGTTAACAGGATTATTTTATACTTTATACAATGAGCAATAGAAAGCCAGCGACCTTCAGTTAATAGTTGTCCTCTCTTTCCGAGTTACATGTATTATATTTTTGATAATGAATATAGTGTAATTTATGTAAAGCAATTATAGCTTCTTCGCTTTAATGTTTTTTAATGTCGAAAAAGTGGTGATAAAACTGCCGAAGCATGCAATGCACACGAAGACAATTCTATTAGTTACCAACTATCAATATTCAATTAATTCTCTTTATGTTTTACTCAATATGAATTGTANTTAACATCTATTTCACCCCGACCTGCTCCCAGTCTGGCCTTGTAGCTCAGCTGGTAGAGCATCGGTGTACAAATCCGAAGGTCGTGGGTTCGAATCCCAGCGAGGTCGGAAATTAATTTTTCCGAATTTATTCCTAAGGGACTTCTCCCGGAATTGCCTCCTTCTAAGCACTATAACTTTCTTTCATTTCTATATCGTGTTTATCATAGTGCCATGCGGTCTTCATATTCATATCTTTACATTATTCTATTACCGCAACCTTAACATCTATTTCACCCCGACCTGCTCCCAGTCTGGCCTTGTAGCTCAGCTGGTAGAGCATCGGTGTACAAATCCGAAGGTCGTGGGTTCGAATCCCAGCGAGGTCGGAAATTAATTTTTCCGAATTTATTCCTAAGGGACTTCTCCCGGAATTGCCTCCTTCTAAGCACTATAACTTTCTTTCATTTCTATATCGTGTTTATCATAGTGCCATGCGGTCTTCATATTCATATCTTTACATTATTCTATTACCGCAACCTTAACATCTATTTCACCCCGACCTGCTCCCAGTCTGGCCTTGTAGCTCAGCTGGTAGAGCATCGGTGTACAAATCCGAAGGTCGTGGGTTCGAATCCCAGCGAGGTCGGAAATTAATTTTTCCGAATTTATTCCTAAGGGACTTCTCCCGGAATTGCCTCCTTCTAAGCACTATAACTTTCTTTCATTTCTATATCGTGTTTATCATAGTGCCATGCGGTCTTCATATTCATATATTCACACAAGAATCGTTTCCATTCATCATGATGGCATTACTACTTATAGGTTCAACTGCTTCGAAGCAACCAAGTTTCTGATATCTTCTGAAGCCGACCCTTCAATCAAGTCAACCGATGGCACCTCCCCCTTACACTTTGCAGCTCGCCACGCAGTCAAAAAGATTTGTGAATTATTACTAGATGACAATGTTTCAGACGTCAATGTCCCGGATAACAGCGGTGTTACGGCGTTCCATCTTGCATGTACCAGCGGTAACGTAGAGATCTGTGAGTTATTTTTGGATCATGGAGCAGATGTGTTCATGGTAAACGCTGAAGGACGAAACTCGCTGCATATCGCTGCCTTATATGGTTACTCAGAGATTGTGAAGAAACTGATACAAACTGGTGAGTGTATGGTCTTTTCCAGTAATGATGTTATGCTGGTTTTGGCGCGAAGGCAAGGTTAATGGAGCGATGGAAATGTCAAATTGTGCAAACTGAATGAAGCGACAAGCTCAACAAAGCGTTTACATCTCCCCGCTGACACAGCGACGTTGATGACGTCAGAAAAATTTGATATAAAAGAATTAAGACTTCGTCCATACTGATAATGTTTCGTTGCGTTCTTGTATTACTTCTCTTACTTAAGGGGATGAAAGATGCATGAAAATAATTCGAAAACGTAGGCAAAAGAGCATTCCGTCGAAAACAGTTCATGGTTCTCGGTGATGCACCTTTTCGTGTTTGGCAGAGAGAAAGTACATATTTCATTCCTATCCTTTTGCAACCAGATGTAAACTGAAACTTTTGTTTTGTTTTCAGCTGAAGAGCAGAATGCAGAAATTGCAAAATTTATCAACAGTTGTGATTCTGACAACAACACACCTTTGCACTTGGCTTGTAAAAAAGGACAAGTGCAAACTGTCAAAGTGTGCTTGCAGCATAAGGCTGATTTGGAAGCCAGAAACGATATAGTGTCCAATACACCGCTGCACGATGCTGCACAGGCAGGACAGGTTGACATCGTGCAAATGCTCATTGATGCTGGAGGCTCCGTGACGTTGACAAATGCTCTGCACCGTTTACCCATACACTTGTAAGTATGGAACTATCCATAAAGGTTGAAGAGAACGAACAAAAACAATAGTCTTCTTCACGGTTCCCTGCGCCATCTTGAAAGGTAGTCATGCCTTTGCATCAAAGCGAGACGACCGTTGAGCGTGCAATAGTGATAGAAACCTTCT